GGGGGGGGGGGGGGGGGGGGGGGCATCCCCCACACATTACTCAATCAATTAATCAATCAATTAATCAATCAATCAGTCGGAAAAAAAATCAATCTATTACTATCCTAGACAATTTCAAAGTACAAATTCACAAGAAAGCACAATGCCGACCAATTGTGAAAAGAAATGAATGAACTTCAGAGCAGAGAGAGAGAAAAAGAACAAGAAGAAACAAAAAAAAATTCAAACCGGGGCTCGGCCAAAAAAAAAGCGGCGCGTTACCGCTGCGGTAACGCAGCGCTAGCTCGTCACCTATGGTGGCGACAGGGCAGCGGGGGATCGCACAGCGGGGTCAACGAGCGTTTGGCTTCGCACGCCAGAGCTTGCTGGCGGCATGGCAGGGGCGGCACGTGGTGTAGGGCGCGCGGGCGCAGGTGGAGTGTATGCTTCACAGGGGTGATATCAAACCCCTGGCTATGGTCGGTCTCGGTCGGTATCTGCCAGAAATCCTTTTCAGTTAATGAATGGATGGTGTTTGAAGTGGGGACAAATGACGGGCGAGATCCTGGTCGCCGCCGCATACCTAATTGCAACCGATCAGGGGTTTCATCCCCTGGTTTCAGATACGGAGCTTTGACTGGAGGAAAACGTCACCATGAAAGTCGTTACATGAGGAGCATTGGAGCTGATAGGTGTCGGTTCTGGTTGCTGAGCGGGACGATAGATCGTTTGATCGAGCTCTCTCCCGACTGCCGGTGAACTTATGCCGACGAATAGACTTCCTACGGTGGTGATAACTTTCTTCGTTCCTTAGTTACGATGGCCAATTAGTGGTAAAGTTCCACTGGTTCAATACATAATCCGTGGCTGTTTTGAGGAGTTTATTTTTGTGTTAGCTAAAATTAGGCGAGAGAGAGAGAGAGAGAGAGAGAGAGAGAGAGAGAGAGAGAGAGAGAGAGAGAGAGAGAGAGAGAGAGAGAGAGAGTGGACGCATATATCATTGGGGTTTGAAAAAAATTTAATGACTGCGTAGGATATAGAGTTTTGAATATTACGGCTCCCTCTTTAATTAGTATATTTAGGGATTTGGGATTTGCAACTGTGTTTTGCTGTTGTTGGTTCATTAGGCGTTTAGGGCTGTTTTGTGGACTTTTCTTTTTAGGTTCCTCGCGTGGTTAGGGTTAATGATGGTTACTATAAGATGTTGTTTCTGACGTTAGATTAGTTCGTAGAACTGGTGTAATAGATTAAGAGAAGAAGGATTTTCGCCCTTGACACAGTCGTAGCATGAGCTTTGCCTGGCCGAAGTGCCTTGCTCAGCTCAGGGTTGCGGCGAATTTTTGTAAGGGACGCCTGGCCCATTTCCGGCTTGATGTTAGTAAAGTTTGATCTTCTTCTAAAAAAAAAAAGAAAAAAAAAGAAAGAACAAGAAGAGGAAGAAAGAAAGATGAAGAAGAGATCGACACCAGCAAAGGGTCACCGATAATTCCCTTCCTCTCGCCAACCAATCCCTCCTCCTTTTCTCCTCCTCTCTTTATTGAAACAATAAATAATAACAGTTATCATGAATGTCCGAACCAGAACCAATGTCCGAATCCCTCTTCTACTCCAGGCACAACATGAGGTCCACCATAGACATTGCCACCCTTCTCCTTCGTCTTCATGTAGGCCAAGGCTATGGCGGACTACTAGGTCCTTGCCCTGCTGTGCAAAAGAGAACTCAAAGCAGCTACGCCTGCTGCTGTTCATGCCGCCATTCCTGACTCTGCCTTGAAGCCTTCTACTGAGGCCTTCCAGGCAGCGCCTAACAAGGTGATGAAG